CCCCCCCCTCGGCGGCCCTGACTATAAGGCGAATCTTCACTTGACTATTTTTATGACGATCGTCATAAAAATTTGTGACGATTTAAAAAGAAATGGAGATGTACTACCACCAATAAGGGACGGACCATTAGAAATCACGGAAACTGCAAAGGAAAATGCCTGGGAAAAGAATTCGTGCAGCCAGTACGTCAGAGAAAAAAAATTCGTGCAAGCAAACAGCGAAGTACAAATAGTCTTGAAAAAAAATTCGTGCAGAGGTTAAATGCATTAAAAAAATTCCAGCAGAGACACGAGACTGAAAAAAAATTCGTGCCGCAAAAATTTTATACCCCCCTCCCGGGATTTCTAATGGTCCGCCCCTAAACTAAAGTCGAAGGCATTAATTAAAAATTTGGCGATTGTCTGGCGCTGGACGAAAAGTACAAGTCAATCCTACATTTCGTTGAGTGCCAGAAGAGCGCTCTTCGAACATTTTTTCAACGCGCGGGAAATTGATACCTTTTTTCAGAAAGCGGATCAAGTTCCCGTGCGTAATACAAAATGACTGAAAAACGGCAAACTTCGCAGGGCTATGTTATTCGCATTTTACAACATTTCGCAACGAAACTTCGGAATATTACTACTTTTGTAATGCTCTTTCAAGCTGTGATGATATTTTTATCCAGAGTTGTTTAGATCAAAATTTTGTTCATTATGAGGAAATAGGTCCATTGGAGTGGCGGCAGCCAATAAGGAGCAGTGATTTAACGATTGTTTCGTTTCTTAATGAGGCTATATTGAATTTCGTTCGTTTACGGCCCACGGTGCATGTTAACTTGTACATCCTTGCAGAAAGTGTTCATTCTTGGCCATAAAGCCTCGTTTTGTGATTGAGCTCGAGATTTTTTATTTAGAGTCTTTTATCATGTTACAAATGACACATTTGCGAAATCATTCAGTTCATATATTATAGAGAAAATAAAGTGACCTGTTTATAATTATATCATAGAAACAGGATACGGGGCTCTAAAGCCATAAAGCCGATGTATCCATCACGGATTAGCCATCAATATTTCGCAGCTTTTCTCTCAGCAGGTCGAGATGCTGCTTATCGCTTTCATTTAAACATCATGGTCAAAACGAATTCAGAAACGAAATTTTCTGGCGAAAGCAAAAGTGCTTCAAACAGAAATGGTTTTCTCCGCAGTCCACTATTTTTGCCACCCAAAATCGGGTGATTTCTTACATATAGCCTGACTCACATTGAGTTCGGCGGCAATTTTTTCTCAGTGACAATTTGAAAGTGCGTTGTGAACTCGGCCGTTGCTGATGTCGTTGGATACTTGGATTAAGTAGCGGAATTAACGCTCTTTAAGGACACAAAGGCAGACCAGAATCTCATTATATGGGTGATTAACCGCTTAGAGCAAAAATCTCACCATTACCGCCATTAAGGTACCCTGGT